TGTGCTCAGAGGGAGCTCCCTCCATGTGCCCCTGTGGCTCTGGGAGGTGGAAGTCACCCCCTGACGGCCCCCACCGGCCACTGCTGGCTAACAGGAGGTCTCTGCCCCCTTCCTGGCATCACCACCTAGGGTGAGGCAGACTGGGGGTGCTGGCCAGAGTAGGGAGCTCAGTGCTCGGGACACAGGAAGAGGACCAGGCATCTCAGCTGGCCAGCAGTCTCTTCTTAGTGCCCACAGCTGGCAGCGCTGGGGCCAGGCATCCCCAAGGCTGGCTAGGAGTGTGGCCCTGGACCCCTGCGAGTCGCCCCCAGCTGTGGCGCAGCCTGTGCCCAGCCATGGAGCAAAGGTGGCATCTGCCTCCAGCAAGGCCCATAGGCCTTTCCCTAAGTGCCCTTTAGGATGAAGCTTCCTCTGGGCCCTGGATCACCCACCCACCCTGCCTTGTTCTGCAGAACCGCCTCTGCCATGCCTGACGGGTGCATCACTGCCATCCTCCAGCCACTGGAAAGAGCTTTCCTAAAGCCTTAAAAAATGAGAACAGTAAATCTCCATTGTAGACAATTCTGGAAACTTCAGAAAAATAGAAAAGCTAAAGACTCCATCATCCACCCTCTCCTAACTTCAGCCACTTTCCTGATTTCTTGCCAGACAGCTAGCCAATGTTTTTCCCTCCACATTCAAAATTCTTTTTCCTGGACTGAGGATAGAACCCATAACCTCGTGCATGGGAGGCAAGGGCTCTTCCACTGAGGCACACCCCACTCCTTACAGACAGTACTTATTTATTTATTTTTGGGTTTTTTTGCAATATTGAGGCTTGAACCCAGAACTTCACACTGAACTACATCCCAGGGATCAAACTCAGGACCTTGCACTTGCCAGGCAGTCGAGGCGCCACTGAGCTAAATCCCCGGCCCTCCTTTCTTCTCTTTTTTTAAATTTTGAGTCAAAGTCTCACTGTATTGCCAAGCTGCCCAACTGAGGCTTGAATTGCAATCCTCCTGCCTCCGTCTCTCAGAGTGCTGAGATTACAGATGTGTTGCTGCACCACTAATCCCTTAGGTTCGTAAGGGACTCCCCCAACATACTCCACTTTGCCGACAGCTGAGTCACTCAAAGGCCTCCCTGTCAGTGGCTGCCAGCCACAGCACCTTTATCCTGATGGTCCACACCGCCACGACCTGCTGCGTGGCTGAGTCACTTGCTGCCTTGGGACATCTGGGTTTTCCCAGTTTCCCTCTGTGGAGCCCACGGGGATGAGGAATCTGTCTCCACAGATATCTGCACAGGTACCTGAGCTGCAGTGTATCCCCTTGGGATAAATTCCCACACAGATTCTGACTCAATGTGCTCCAACACTTCTGACACGTGTGTTTCCCCGTGCATTTCTGCTTGGGACAGGAAACTCAGAACTCTGGAAAAGATCCATGCTGTGTCCTGATGGTCACGGAGAGAGTGTAGGTCACCTGTCCCTTACCTCCACCCACCACTGCTCCAGCGGGGAAGGCTGGAGCCGCTGAGAGTCCCCATGTGTCAGGCCCCCAGCTGCCCCACTGACCCTGCAGGGTTCCTGGTAACCAGGAAAGCACCCCCACAGTGGGGGCGTCCAGATGGACCCTCAGGCTAACGGACCCCCAGGCTAATGCCCTCTCCTGCACACGGGACACACTGGCCTCCACCCTGCTGGACTCCAGACCTCTCCAGTGGATGCCACAGTCCATTCCAGAAATAGGCCTCGATGTGGGGACCCTGTCCCTTCAGCCAGATGGACAAGGAGGGTCCTCACCTCACCTGCATCACCATCCTCTGACCCTGCACCCCTGGGCTCCCAGACACCTCAGTGCTCCAGAAGCTGCTTCACCTCACCATGCCTCGATGTCCCCCACAGTGGGTTGAAGAGCAGCCCCCAAAGGTGTGCCCACCTGCACCCTCAGAATGGGATCCTACTTGGAGAAAGGGTCTCTGCAGATAGCGCAAGGGCCTCAAGATGAGTTCAGAGTGAGCCACAATTCCGCGTGTGTCTCCAGAAGAGACAGGAAGTAGGAATGACAGCACCTCAAGGGAAAAGAAGAGGAAGGACCCTGCCCTGGAGCCCCCAGAGGGAGCAGCCCCGTGGACACCATCCTGTCAGACTTCTGGCCTCCAGAGTGTCAAGCTTGTGCTGCTAGGGGCCAGTGTGCTTCTGGTGAAGCATTCTGGCAGCCACAGGGAACTCACCCAGTTTGGAAAAGATGAACATGGTTCACACCGATGGGTGTAATGATTAGGAACAATCTCACGCACATTCCCGGCACACGGTCCCTGGTGTTGGGCATTCATTCATTTAGCAGACACTGTGTGAAGCGCTGGGCCCCAGGACAGAGCTTGGCCTCTCTGTGTGGCTCAGACCCGGCTTCCCTCCAGTGCCAGCCTCAGTGCCAGCAGACAAGAGTGAGGAGCGAGGAGGATGGGACTGAGATGGAGGGTGGGCTTGTGCCACAGGCAGAGGGGCCTCGGGGCTGATGGAGGCCCCAGGGGTGTCTGCACCCAGCCTGAGGCGCCTGGGAGCGGCGGGGTGGGTGATGTTCAGACAGGAGTGCATGAGGGGCAAGGCCAAAGCCCAGCACCGCTCTGCAGGACTTAGGACCTACTCCTAGAGGGTAAGGTGCAGTCAAGCCCTCCTCCAAGCTCCTGGCCCATGCCTCAGTTTCTCCAGGGCCCCCCGCTCCCCCAGCTTGAGCAGCTGCCCCTGCAATACAACAGCAAGCTAAGGCGCCTGCCATCTGCCTGGTGCTTCCTGAGCGGCAGGTTTCCAGGGACTCTGACTCTCCAGGTCCTCGGCCCCACCCTGCCCTGGGGAGCCAAGGGCCCTTCTCAGGCCTGGGGGAGGTGGGGTGCTCCTCCTGCTGCAGTAAAGGGGCCATAAGGCTTCCTGACACCCCGGCCAGTCCTGGGCTGGGCCCTGCACTGCTCCTGCGGTCTGAGCCACCTGGGCTTGGCATTCGCCCCAGTCCCCCAGCTCTGAGTGCCCTTGTTCCCTCCAGAGAGCAGGTGGGGCCAGGGCTGGGGGCTCAGGGCACATCCCCCCTCCAGCACACACAGTGAAGGCCTCGTGTGGCTCGCGCGGCAGAGGGGTCGCCCCGCCCCCAGGCTCCAGGGCTGTACTGCGGGAGGGGAGGCTGGGCAGGGCGGGCACTGTCTGCAGTCTTGGTCCCTGCGCCCTGCCTGTCTCCCCGTTTCACCTCTGTACATTGTGTTCTCCCCTCCCCCTCCCCATCGGCTTCTCTCTGTGTCTCTGTGTCTGCCGTCTCTCTGTCCCCATCCCTGTCTGCCGTCTCTCTGTCCCCATCCCTGTCTGCCGTCTCTCTGTCCCCATCCCTGTCTGCCGTCTCT